CAGACCCTTGGGCTTCCTCTTTGTAGGCGCCCTCCCCCATCCTCTACCCCTAGCCACCACTAATATGTTCTCCTCACTTTGAATTTGCCTTTTCCAGAATGTCATAGAAATGGAATCGTACAGTATGTAGCCTCTCTGGTCTGGCTTCCTTCACTCAGCATTTTGAGATTCATCCACATTCGTCTCCACTGCTGACCAGTATTCCATGGAATGGGTGAACCACACTTTGTTTATTAGTCATCAATTGAAGGACATGGGGGTGGTTTCCTGTTTGGGGCAATTGTGAATGAAACTGCTGTAAACATTCACTTTTAGGCTTTTGTGTGAATATAAGTTTTCATTTCGGTTGGGTAAATAAAGACTTAGGAGTGGGACTTCTGGGTCATATGGCAGGTGTATGTTTAACTTTATAAGAAATTGCCAAATTGTTTTCCGGAGAAAGCTGTACCATTTTGCACTCCCACAGCAGTGTGTGAGGTCCAGCTGCTCCTCATCGCCCTCAGCACTTGTATTGTCAGGTTTTCTTAAGTAATTCTAATAGGCGTGTAGTGGTATCCCATACAGTTTTAAATTGCATTTCCCTAGTGACTAATGATGTGGAGAATCTATTCATGTGCTTATTTGCCATATATTCATATACCTTCTTTGGTGAAGTGTCTGTTCAAATCTTTTGCCCACTTTGTAAATTGGGTTGTTTGTTTTATTGTTGAATTTTGAGTGTTCCTTTTATGTTCTTGATAAAAGTCCTTCGTGAGATATGTGATTTGCAAATATTTTCTCCCAGTCTATGGCTTATCTTTCCCCTCTCTTAACTGTGTCATTCAAAGAGAAGTTCTTAAACTTTGACAAAGCCTACTTTTTTCTATTACACTTTGTGCTTTTTGTATCTCATACCAAAGCCATTGCCTAATCCAATGACAGAACATTTTCTCCTATGTTTTCTTCTAGAAGTTTTATAGTTTAGGTTTCACATCTAGGTCTATGGTTCACTTTAAATTTTGTGTAAAGCTTGAGGTATAGGCTGAAGTTCTTTTTTTTTTCTTTTTTGCACATGGATGTCCAGTTGTTCCAGTACCATCTGTTGAAAGGATATCCTTGGGGCCGGCCCCGTGGCTTGGCGAGGTGTGCGTGCTCTGCTACTGGTGGCCTGGGTTTGGATCCTGGGCACGCACCGACGCACCACTTCTCCGGCCATGCTGAGGCTGTGTCCCACATACAGCAACTAGAAGGATGTGCAACTATGACGTACAACTATCTACTGGGGGGCTATGGGGAAAGGGGAAAAAAAAAACGAGGAAGATTGGCAATAGATGTTAGCTCAGAGCCGGTATTCCTCAGCAAAAAGAGAAGGATTAGCATGGATGTTAGCTCAGGGCTGATCTTCCTCACAAAAAAAAAAAAAAAAAGAAAGAAAGGCTATCCTTTCTCCATTGAATTACCTTGACATCTTTGTGGAAAATCAATTGACCATATTTGTGTGGGTCTATTTCTGAACTGTCTATACTGGCAGCTTGATCTGTGTCTGGCCGTTCACAGATCCCACACTGTCTTGATTAGTACTCCTTGACATTAAGTCTTCAGACCAGGTACAGTGAGTCCTCTTTGTTCTTGTTCAAAATTACCTTGGCTATTCTAATTTCTTTGACTTGTCCTATAAATTTTAGTATCAGCTTGTCACCATCTACAAAAAAATCCAGCTGGAATTTTGATGGGGATTATGTTAAATCTGTAGATCAATTTGGGGAGAATTAGTGTCTTAATAATATTGTTTTCCAATCCATGAGCATGGTATACCTCTCCATTTATTTAGGTCTTCATTGATTTCTTTGATCAGTCTTTTGTATTTTTCAACATACAGATTCTACATATATCTTTTATATTTATATCTATATTTCATTTCTTGGGTGGCATCATAAATAATGATAGTTTGAGAATTTCAATTTCCAATTGTTTGTTGCTAGTATACAAAAACACAATTGATGGTATAATTTACCCTGTAGCCTGTGATCTTGCTAAACTCATTTATAAGTTTTAGGAATTTTTGTAGGTTCTGTGCAATTTTCTACATAGAGAAATATTGTGAATAATAACAGTTTTATTTCTTCCTCTCTGATGTGTTTGCCTTTTTATTGTTTTCTTGCTTTATTGACTGGTCAGGGCTTCTGGTACAATGCTGAACAGAAGTGGTCAGATTGAATAGCACTGCCTTGTTCCCAGTCTTGGGGGGAAAGCATTCAGTCCTTTATCATTAAATATGATGTTAGCTGTGGGATTTTTGTAGATGCCCTTTACCAGGTGAAACAAATTGTTATATTTCTAGTTTGCTGAGAGTTTTTTTCATTAATGAATGTTGAATTTTGTCTCTTGCTTTGTCTGCATAAAATGATAATGTGATTTTTTCCTCTATAGTATGTTAATATGGTGAATTACACTGATTTTCAGATATTGAACCAGCCTTACATCACCAGGATAAACTCCACTTATTGTGATGTATTACTCTTTTTATATATTGCTGGATTCATTGTGGTATATTTGTTGAGGATTTTTTTCATCCACATTCATGAAGGATATTGGTCTGTAGTTCTTAGACAAAGTGCACATGGAACATTCACCAAGGTAGACTCTATTCTGGGCCATAAAACAAACTTTAAAAGTGTGAAATCTGGGGCCGGCCCTGTGGCATAGTGTTTAAGTTTGGGATGCTCCACTTTGGTGGCCCAGGTGCTCGGGTTCAGATCCCGGACGTGGACCTCTGGGGCCGGCCCTGTGGCATAGTGTTTAAGTTTGGGATGCTCCACTTTGGTGGCCCAGGTGCTCGGGTTCAGATCCCGGGCGTGGACCTACATCACTTCTCGGCCATGCTGTGGCAGCAACTCACATACCAAATAGAGGAAGCCTGGCACAGCTGTTAGCTCAGGTCTAATTTTCCTCAAGCAAAAAATGGAAGATTGGCAACAGATACTAGCTCAGGGCAAATCTTCCTCGCCAAAAAAAAAAAAGTGTGAAATCTTTAACAATATAATTGAAGTTGTACAAAATACATTCTCTTACTATGTCAGAATTATAATAGTAATAACAGAGAAACACACCTTTAAATAACCCATTGGACAAAAAGGAAGTCTCAAGGGAAATTAGAAAATATTTAGAACTGAATAAAAATAAAAATTCATAAGATGCAGCCAAAGCAGTGTCTAGAGGAAAATTTATAGCATCAAAATGCCTATATTAGAAAAGAATAAAGGTCTCAAATCGATAGTCTAAGCTTCGACCTTAAAGAAAATAGAAAAATAAGAAAAACAAACCTGAAGCAGAAGGAAATAATAAAGAGCAGAAATCAATGAAAAAGAAAACATAAAAAAAGTAGAGGGACTGGCTAGGTGGTGTAGTGGTTGGGTTCACATGCTCTGCTTCAGCGGCCCAGGGCTCATAGATTTGGATTCTGGGCATGGACCGATGCACCACTTGTGAAGCCATGCTGTGGCGGCAACCCACATAAAATAGAAGAAGATGGGCACAGATGTTAGCTCAGGGCCAATCTTCCTCACCAAAAAAAAAACAAAACCAAAAAAACCTCAAAGTTAGTTTTGGAAAGATCAATAGTATTAATAAACTTCTAATCAGACTAACCAAGAGCAAAAAAATTCATCAATATCAGAAATGAAAGATGGAATATCATTACAGACCCGACAGAAAATGAAAGGATAGTAAAGGCATGCTACAAAAACCTCTACGGTCGTGCTTGACAACTTATACGAAATGGACCAATTCCTTGAAAGACACAAATTACTAAAATTCCTTTATGAACAAATAGATAATTCAAATAGTCCTAGATCTACCTAAGAAATTGAATTTCATAGTTAAAAACCTTGCAATTAGGAAAACTGCAGGACCATACAGTTCCCCTGGGGAGTTCTTCCAAACATTCCAGGGAGAAGTAACACCTGTCCCTACTTTAGAAAAGAAGTCCTCCCAGTGTGCCCCTCAGGAATGCTGTTCTCATCAACACGTGCGTATGCATGTGTGTGAAGGAAAGAAAAGAAAAAGAAGCAAACGGTGCAGCTGGTACGAACAACAGTGTTTATTCAGGAAGCTGAACGCTGCACCTTCTGCAGTTCTCAGGGACAAGAGCCTTCGCTTGGAGGCCGTGCAGTCTGCAGGAAGCAGTCAGGGCACAGGGAGCAGAGCAGGATCACACAGGGATCTGACACTGGAAACAGCGCCAGGCTGGCAGCACGGCCCCACTCTGATGGATGGGAAGGTGCGTGGCTACTTATGACCCCTGTGCAGAGGGAGCAATGTGAGCTCAAAACCAAAGAAAGACCCAACCACTGGTTCCAAATCCACACAAAAAACCTTATTTCTGAGGGCAAGGCAGGCAGGTGTTTCCCCAGAGGACCCCAAGGTCAGCCTTTCTGAGGCCCTGCTGCCTGCCTGCCCACTGCTGTTAATAATTCAAGTCCACCTAGCCAGTCTCTGGCAAAAGAGATGGGAAACTATGGTAGCCCTGGGGTCCTCCTCTCAGGGTTGGCCGAGAGCCATGGCTGGGGCTCGGTCTGCAGACGTGCCCTCTTCATCTCCTGACCTGTGCCCCTTGGAGGAGCTGGGTGCCCTGCTCTGCTGTGCCTGTGAGGAGCCCGGGAACTCAGGACAGCTCTATGGGTCGTGAGGCCTCCTGTCTTGTCCCCTCCAGGCAGGCCATATTGCGCCCTCTGCACACTGCTTCCCCTCCCATCCCTTTAGCCGGGCAGAGGGGGCCTGATGGTGTTTGCAAATGGGACCTAATGGACGTGTGCTAAGCCTGTCTGACCAGATGGCTGTGAGGAAGGAGACCCGGCAGCCAGGCCCACCAGCTGCCAGTCTTATCCAGCAGCTCAGCTCCTAATTCTGCCTAGAAACCAGCACAGCTCTGCACCTGTCCTGCAAGTCCTCTGGGGGACTTGCTCAGATGCACTATTCCCCTGGCCACCACGCCTACGAAAAGGGGCTGTGTGTGTGTGTGTTCTGCCTCCTCCAGCAGGAAAATGGGGAACTGGCCTCGATGAGGAGGTGGGAGCTGACCCCTGTGGGCAAAGACCACTCCCTTCCACAGCGCTGTGCTGGTTCTGGCTAATTCCTGGACTCCTGCAGCATCACCCAGGGTTTATCAGTGGCTGTTCTCATCAGTAGATTGGTTATCGTCTACTGCGAGCTGGCCTGGAAGGGCAGTTGCCCGCACCAAGTCCTCAGTGGGTGAGGGCAAGAGGCCAGAGGGAGATCGAGGCCAACCACAGACACCGGAGGGGAACCACTCTTTGGTGGGACGTGAGAGGCTGTGGGCAGAGGAGACAGCACGAAGTTACGGGGTCCTGGGAGTCATGGGCCAGGGACACAGAGACTCTGCACGAGGCTCAGCGGGCATGGTCATGAGTTTAAGAATGCAAAAGCTGATGGCTCTGAGCCAGGAGGCTCTTTTGCTGCTACTCTCTGTGACAACGTCCAGGGGGCCCCGGTGGCTGAGAGGGGCTCCTCTGTAGCAGTCCCAGCCCCCACCAGGCGGGGACAGGCCACCAGCTCCATGCCAGCAAACAAGGAGTTGTGTCCACCGCTGGCCAATGGGCTCCATGGGCAGCCGCTGGGGCCTGGGCCGAGCTCTGGCACTCCTTTTGTGGTATCTGTGCCTGAAGGGCCCCACTCAGATCTGGGCCCCTGCTCTTTGGAACCTGCCAGTCTGGTCTTGGCCTCCCTGTTGTCCCTGGGCACTGGGAGTAAGGAGCCATCCAGGGGAGGGGGGTGCGCAGGGCCTTTGGGCGAGAACAGGGCTGAGCTCACAGGCTGCAGGAACGCCTGGCCCCCAGTGAAAGGCACAACGTCAGTCAGCAGGTCGGATGGGCCCACGTGGGCAGCTGCAGGGCCAGGATTGGCCGGGGGCCTCCAGGCAGGGGGCTGCTGTCCGCAGGAGGCTTCCAAGTGCCTCAGGATCTGGACAACGCAAGGAAAGCGGTATCAGTGAGAATCTGTGCTCCTCCGGGAATCGAGGAGGATGGAGCCCGCCCCGCTCTGGTGCCTCCTCGAGGCCGGTGCCCAGCAAACGGTCTCCTCAATGTCACCCCCCAACTGGAGGCCACTGCTGGCCTCGAGCTGCTTCAACAGCAGGGCCACACTGTTTGTGTCCAGTATGCAGCCGTGCATCTTGCTCCCCATCTGCTGTTATACAGAGGGACGTTACCCTGTCACTGGACCTGGCTGCGTGACAAGCCAGCACAGGGAAAGGTGGCCTCTCGTCGGGCACCACATGACCACTGGACACAGATGCCGAGGGAACAAACGTGCCTTCACTCGTCCGGTTGTTCCCAACTGCCAGACACCTGGGATCCTCCAGCATCCTTGTTCTGAGGAACACCCCCACGGTGCACCACCACGAGGTGTGTCTTGTGTACCACAGGGTCACTGACGCTTTGACAAAGGACAATTTAAGGACGGGTGACTGAGGATCTGAATTTTCAGTGGCCACAGAGAAAATGGGAAGAAGCAGCGGGATGCCAACAGGCAGTGGAGGCACCGGGGCCCAGCTGCAGGGAGGCCATAAGCCTGGGGGCGCTGCCCAGAGGCCCCCAGTGACAGACTCCAGGTGGCCTTCACACAATTCAGGTGTTAGTGGGAAGGAGACTCAGATGAATGGAACCATTTCTGCCCTCCAAGAGCCAAACATGGACCCATAAGCTGTGACGTGGGGTGGAGAACAGGGGGATAAATCCATCCGAGCAGTCAAGGAGGGCTTCCTGCAGGAGGCCACACGTGAGCTGAGCCACGTGGAGGCAGGGCTGCTGAGCAGTAAGGCAGGCGAGCTCAGGAGGATTCCAGGAACCAGTGAGCCTAGAGAGCCATGAGCCAGGGTGAGGCAAGGACCCCAATTGCTGTTTTCAGGGCATGACCTGTCCCGGGCAGCAAGGGACAGGGACAAGAGGGGCGTGTCTGGGAAAGGCCTGTGGGAACAGGGTGTAGGACTGGAGGTGTCCCCATGCCTGCTCCTCTGGGCCCCAGCTGCTGCTCACCTTGGTGGCCTTGTTGGTCACAGGTCCAGGGCTGCCTGTGCTGAGCTCCTGCAGCCATGGCCGGGTGAGGAGGAGGATGTGCTCCTGGGAGAGCAGGTCAGTGCACCCGAGGGAAGCAATGGCACCCAGGGCTCTCTGCGGGGCAGACAAGAGATCAGCAGGGTCCACCCAAGAGGGAGGCCCGTCTGACCGGCTCACTCCCTCCTCACTAAGGCCAGAGTCCGAGTCTGGGGAAGCCCCTGAGGCAGTCCCACTGGGATCCTGCACTCACTTCCCCCTCCTGTTTATCTCCCAGGGGCAGACCCCCCATGAGGAGATCACTATGCCACCCCTGCCTGCTCCCCTCGCACAGGCATGCACTCGCACGCACTAGCCTGCACTCACGGGGCTGGCCCTCACCATCTGCACGCACTCGCTGGTCCCACCCAGGTGGCGAATCAGCAGCTCCAGCACAGCCTCGCAGTTGAGCAGTCCACACCTGCGGAGGGGGGCATTGGGCAGGGGGCAGGGGCAGTGAGGCTGTTTCCCTCACCAGGGCAAGGCTGGGGGGCACAGAGTCAGGGCAAGGGGCTGGGAAGGGGGAGGTGGGGGGCTCACTCTTTGACGAAGTGCTGAGCCTCCTCTCGGCTCAGGAAGGCGCGTGACCCCTGTATCACAGTCCGGACCAGGCTCCACTCCTGCTGGCAGTCACTCAGGGTCATGGCCTCGACCCTGTCGGGGGCATGGTGGGTCAGGGCAGAGGGTGGCTCCATTGCCGCCAGGAGGGGGTGAGGCCCTTCCACGTCATTCCTCCCTTGCTGGGGTGGGACCCAGGAAGGGTGGGGAGGGATACCCTGAGGTGCTCACTCACCTTTCCGCCATGTCGCTGGGGGCCCAGCTGGCCCTAGAGGGGCTGTCACTGCCTGACCAACTACCCGAGTCTGAGACCTTGCTCAGGTTGCCATTCTCCTGGGAAGAATTCTGAGAGCTGGGGCGGCTGTCCAGCTCATCCCAGCCCCCTCCAGCCTGCCCAGGGTGGTGTCTCGTGGCTGGAAGAAACAGTGACTGAGGTGAGACCGTGGGACCTCAGACTGGCCTTATGCCCACCTCCCCAGACCCCTGGACCAGAGACCCAGGGAAGGGCCTTGGGGCTGGGTCCCAAGCTCCAACTCCAGAAACCAGCAACAGAAGAGGGCGGGCAGTGCCCGGGCCCGACCAGCAGCAGGGTGAGCCTGCGTCCCCGCACCAGAGGCAGCAGCAGCTCAGGCCCCACCACACCACACTCCCAGCTGCTCCACCTGGACCAAGTCACAGCCCCAGCTTCCCCGGCTCCACCATGCCACAGCCGCAGCTCCTTCGGCTGGACCATGCCCCGCCCCCAGCTCCTTTGGCTTGACCGCCCCCCTCCGCCCGGCTCCAGCTGCTTTGGCTTGGCCAATGCTCAGGCTCCAGCTGACTTGGTGCCAGCAACTTTGGCCCACTGCACTCCAGTTCCAGCTTCTTCAGCCCAGCACACTCCAGTTCCAGCTTCTTCGGCCCAGCACACTCCAGTTCCAGCTTTTTTGGCCCAGCGCACTCTAGTTCCAGCTTCTTTGGCCCAGTGCACTCCAGTTCCAGCTTCTTCGGCCCAGCGGTGCTCCAGCTCTTCCTTCTTTGGCCCAGCGCACTCCAGTTCCACATTCTTCAGCCCAGCGGCGCTCCAGCTCCTGCTTCTTTGGCCCAGCGGCACTTCAGCTGCAGCTACTTCAACCCACCTGCACCCAAGCCCCCGCTTCTTCAGCCTAGCTGCACTCCAGTCCCAGCTATTCCCATGCTTCAGCCCCAGCAGCCTCTACTCAGCCACGCCTCAGATCAGCCAGGGGCCAACGAGTGCCCACGGATTGAGATGGGTCAGAATACATAGCCCTTGACCCCCACCCAGTGGCAGCAAGAGGAAACTGTGACCATATATTTTCACTATCAGGAAAAGTAAGCCAATACCAAGAGGCACCATGCAAAAATATATTAAATCTCCAGACCAAAAGGAGAATGACAAGCACCAAGAAGTCAACCTAGAAAGCACAGAAATGTATAACCTTAATGACAGAGAATTCAAAATAGCCATCATAAAAAAGCTTAATGAAATACAAGAAAACCCAGACAGACAAGTCAATGAAATCAGGAGTTTCTTCACAAAAGAGATTGAAACTATTAAAAAAAAAAAAATCAGAAATCTTAGAGATGAAAAACACAATAGAGGAGATAAAGATAAATCTGGAAGCCTTAAGCATCAGAGCTAACAATGTGGAGGACAGAATTAGCAATATTGAGGACACCAATGCAGAAATGCTCCAGATGGAGGAGGAAAGAGAACTAAGACTAAAAATAAATGAAGAAACTCTCCAAGAAATATCCGACTCAATTAGGAAATCCAACATAAGGATTATAGGTATTCCAGAGGGAGAAGAGAGGGAAAAAGGAGCAGAGAACTTGTTCAAAGAAATAATAGCTGAGAACTTCCCAAACCTGGCGAAAGAGCTGGAAATACCAGTGAATGAAATAAATAGATCTCCTGAATATATCAACATGAAAAGACCCTCTCCAAGGCACATAGTAGTAAAGCTGGCAAAAGTCAATGACAAAGAAAAAATATTAAGGGCAGCTAGACAAAAAAAAAAAAATAACATACAAAGGATTTCGTATCAGGCTCTCAGCTGATTTCTCGACAGAAACTTTACAGGCTAGGAGAGAGTGGAACGATATATTCAAAATTCTGAAGGACAAAACTTTCAGCCAAGAATACTCTATCCAGCAAAAATATCCTTCAGATATGTAGAAATAATAACTATCCCAGATAAACAAAAGCTAAGGGA